CCTTTGGATCTTGGACACGCGCACACACATACACGGCGTCAGTTTTAAGCTGCCAGGTCCAGGACTCAAACCACAGTTGACTATGTGGGAGTCCAGCAATGTAGCCATTACGCCATCTGCTGGTCTCCATGGGGATCATTTTAATGCTTCTGGTATGAGGGATAGTTCTCCTGTGTTAGAGGATGGATCTTTCAGCAACAGGAGTCCAGGTCAAAATTATGTGTCTAATGTCTCCAAAAGAACAAGGGACCCAGCCGACCACTGTGTATTTACTCAGTGTTTCCTCTGTGCTGAACACTAGATGTGACACTTTCATAGGGCTTCAGTGCCCCACAAAGAGCCAGCAAACCAGCCGGGAGACATGAGCAGTAACTGACTAGTTTATTCTTCAAGGGTTTCTTTTCTGTTTTCTTTCTCTCTGTGACTTATTTTTCTTTAATCTTCCCTCCATATAATTTCCATGTGGCCCAAGTAATATAAACAGCTAGAGACTATAAAAAAGAAATATCCTCCCTTCAATAACTTCCTGTTTGGTGGAATATTTGTTACTAATAGCAGTTATCGATTGCATCAACATGCATTAAAAATCCCCCAACTTTGCCTACACACAGAATCGAATACATGAGCTTTCAACCAAGGAGATATTGATACTTTTTAGTACCTGTGACTTTTGAAGAACTCTCCCTGTGTAGTATGTATTTAAATTGGTATGTCATTTGAATTTCCAAAGTCAGCATCTAAAATCCAAGCTATTCCTTAGTTGTGGGAGAAAAAAGTTTCAAAATTACATAGGAAAATCAATTTTTATTTCAAAAAATAATTCTCAGGTTTGAAATTTTAAAATTAATATGCTGCTTCAAGGTGCAGGTCCTAAAACAGTAATAAAAGAACAGTTTCTTTAGAAGCAACTCGTGGAAGAGTTATCTATCGATAGACTGTCAAAGGGCAACAAAATCCCCATGCTTTTTAGCTCATCCCCTATTTAGCACAAATCAAGACCCAATGTAAGTCTGAAAAAGAGAAATAAACATTTTACCAGATTTTCACTTAGGCACACAGTAACTGCTTTGGGCATTCTGATCTCAAAATGCAGACAAACAATTGCAAGTCCGTAATTAGCCTGCTGCTGACAGTATTAGCCCCTTGAAGCAATAATATGAATTTGTGGTGGAATCCTGTATCTTTTTCTCAAAATTAAAAGATGGATATTGACAGGGTATAGTTGGGAAAATACACAAATAAATACAGTATAAAAAAAAAAACACATGGAAATGTGTCTATGTCAAATCTGAATCACTTTCACCATAGGAAAATCCTTCTCTTGGCCTAATACCTATTTGTTCCTTACACAGTATCAAAGTACCATTTCTTCTCAGTGTTAAGGAAGAGAAATTAGTTTATTAGCACAGGGTTTATAATACACTGCTAATTATATAACATACTTTTCAATCCAAAAGATGTCCCACCCAACCTTCATTTCCAAAGCAGACGGCATTTACGTGGCCAAACAGCCTTTGGTTTGGTCTGGAGGATGCTGGTTTGGGGGTCACACCAACAGAAGCCACATGGATCCATTGGGCTTCTTCCATTAAATAGCTGCATTGAAATGGCTTGGAAGCATGACAGATGAGCTGATTTGTAAAACTGCATTTATCTGTACATGTGTGGGCTTTGAATTTCTACCAAGCAAGAGATAAATAATCTCTTTAGGTAAAATCAAATTTTACCTTTCCAATTATCTTCCAACTTATTTATTGGTTGTTACTCAATTGCCTGTGTGTGTGTGTGTTTGTGTGTGTGCGTGTGGTATGCGCGTGTGCGCGCCCACGTGTGTGCTATCAGGCATGTGCTTCTAACTTTGAGACAAGGAGGAGCAAAGCTGATGCCAGATACTGTGTATTCTACAATGGTGCTAATCTCAGAGCTAAGTGATATTCCATTTAATTTAAAAAAAAGAGTTTTAAATAATTATCTATGTGCCTGTGTTTCCCTTTTGAGTGTTGCACATCATGTTAACACATTAGTGTAAGAACAGATAAAACAACCATATGTTCTGAAGTCTAGGGATAGTGCTATAATCCCTATTTAATTCAAAATCAACTAGAACGTTTCTGTGTGAAATGGACCAAACTGGCAGTATTGTTATTTAAATACAGAGTTTTAATGCAGTATGATATCCCACCGGGGAAAAGAATGTCTATCTATAGTGGGTGACTATTCTCAAATATTTTACAGAATATAATGAATGGTGAATAGACTGGTAACTTGTCTGAGTTTCCATGATAGATTTGAGATGTACTAGCAAATCATTTTTGTATTTAAATTTTTGTACTGATTTGAAAAAAGTTATTAAATATCTTTAAAAGTATGTTTCTCGTCGTATTCATATCACTGTGAAAACCTCTTACTTTTATCCCACATTGTATTAGCTGCTGAAACAGAGACCTAAAGTAAGTCTATTTTAAACAGGACAACCTGTTCCTCCTTGGCATAACAGTTCTGAGCAGTCTAGACCTCATGTTGCAGCTCCAGTTAGAGACCCACGTTTCTTCTAGACTCACGTTGTCACATTTCTACCCAAAGAGTAATTGTTGCCTCCCCTGTGTAGTCAGGATACCTAACCAACATGCTGCAGTTCCAGTTCAGCAGTGGGGAGAGGGGGACGGCGTGCTTTTTGTTTACGGGACTTGAGTCATTATTTATTCAGATCCATCCGTTCACATACGTGGCTATGAATTGAACCACAATACCACAATAAGCTTTCAGAGAGGAGGGGAATTGAATATTTATTCTGATAACCACGTG